ATATATATATATGTAAGCAATACAATTAAGTACTTCAAATTACAATAAATAAGTTCATGTATAAAACTTATAAAAAATATTTAGAAAAACTCAGTAGGACCTACAATCTATAAAACACTCATGGTTTCAACTCAGTCATTAAATCTTCATCTGCCCATGGATCACTACTTTCTTTTAAAAGAAATTTTAGGTGAAGAAGGTTACCTCAGTGAGGGCTTAATAGCAGCATAACTGATTTTTTTGGCTAACGGAAGCTATTAATAGAAGTAGTTTGCGAATTCACAATTTGGGTTATATATGAGATTATAAATTCTAAACATTTGAATAAAAAAAAGTGTGTCTTATTTGATAATTAATTTTGGATAGTTTAATAAAATTTAGATCAAACAAAACATTTTTGTTAATATAAATTATGTGGTATAAGTACTTGAAAAAATCTGAAGTGAAAAAGGAGTTAAAGAAATACCGAGTTCATTTGAAAATTGAAATTGATTATGGGAGCATGGAAGGAAGTAAGAAGCCAAAAAGAAGGGGGAGGAACCATGGAAAGAGAGATTTTCTGGTTTTGGCAGGGAGGATCGATATGTACAGAGTGGGGGAACTTTTTCGAGATAACATGTGGCTGAAATAGCCGGTGAGTTTTTTTAAAGGGAAATGCAGGTGATGGAAAAAAATAAATAAATAAAGAAAAACAAAATAATTAACAGAATTCTATTTATTTTAAGGAAACACTTTTAATATTTATAAAATATTTCATAACGATTTCCCTGAAGACGAAACAATTTTATAACTTGCTTAGGCCTAAGCCGGTGGATTTTTGTTTTCAATGATTTCTTATTTGGCGCCTATAGGTCGGGGTAAAGGTTCATTGTGTTAACCACACGTGTGAAGCTACCAGTAATGGCACGTGCGTAGCAAATGGGCCGATGCAGAAGTACCTTCTCAACTTCTAATTCTCATGACCCTACCACAAAATCATTATAATTTGTTTAAAATATCAATTCAGTCCCTTAACTTTCAGATTTCATCAAAATTATCTCTCAACTTCAAAAAATACTAAAATTATCTATAAACTTTAATTTTTAATACTAAAAAAATCTTTCTATTAATAAAAGTATCATATAACTCATTATTTTATCACAAAATTAATTCTTTTTTAAAATATTAATGACGTATACAATCAAATAATCATATTTTATTATTATAACACATTTTTATTTATACATCAGATTAATAACCAAAGCACAAAACCCACAAAACTTATAAAGTTGAAAAATCAAATTAGTATTTCTAATCAAAATTCAAGAACTAAATTGGTACTTATCTTCAAAGTTTAAGAACTAAATTAGTATTATCTTCTAAGTTTAATAACTATTTTGGTGCCAAAAATGAAAGTTTTAGGACAATTTTGATTTTTTTCTAAAGTTGAGGAACAATTTTGGTAGAAATCTGAAAATTAAGGGACCAAATTGGTATTTTAAGTAACCTTATAGTTTTAGTCAAAACCAATTTTTTAGAAAAAGTTAAACCGAATTTTTCAACACATTCTAAATCAATATACATATGATGTTTGATTCAAAACCATGCATTGGATATATTGGTAGGGCTAACAAATTTTATGTCTATAAGTGAATGATGGATAGTTTGAAAATTATAAATGTGATAGGCTTTTTCTAAGAATTTAAGATAAGATGTGTTATGCATATAAAATACACAACTTTAATTATACAATTCATAACTTGACTTGATAATAAATAAATAAATGCAGATAATATTATAAGAAAATCATTGAATTAAAAAAATCATTTATATATACCATGTCAATTATCATATCAAATTGCAAATGGAATTATATAGTTAAAATTATGAATGTAATTTTTTTATTTAGATGAAATGAGTTTAGCTTAGTTGGTCAGCTGATTGATAACTTCTTTGATTAAAGGCAAAAAATTTGGTAAAATTAACAAACATACATACTTGACAAGAATTAAGAAGAAATGAGAATTAAGATAAAACATTTTCAAAGTTTCCATTTTTTCCATGCATGTTAAAAAAAATGAAAAAGTTAATTTTCTAAATGAACCAAGTATTTAAACATTAGGAAATATCCAAAAAATTTGCACAATGACATTGTTTCCGTGCATGTCAAAAAGGGTCATTCTCTTCTCTTTCAGACAAGTTTCAGTCCATTTCAATTTTTCTCGTACGCGCAAAGGAAAAAGCAGGTGAGGGCTTTGCTTGTGGGGTAGGAAAAGCACATACAAATCCTAGGGTTGACATGGTTCACAGCCTTAAAACAAAACCAAAATCCAAAATCCATCCTACCAGAGAAGAAGGTGAGATATTGAAGGTACCATAACCACTGGTATTGCATGTTCCTGATCGATTCCAAGTTTCCTCTAACCATCCTCAATCAACATCACCTTTTAATTTCCCTGTATTTCTCTAAAAAATATCTACCTAAATTTAAAGAAAAATACAACGCTTGGTTCAGTGCTAGAATCTTCCACTCAATGTGGGATAAACCTAATCCCTACCTTTATCAAAAACCACAAAGAGAGCAGTGATCTGTCTCATTGCTTAGTGGAGGGTCACTTTTAGTTCCAACATTTGTTAGAGAATTGTAGTTGCAAGAGAACTGGGGTATTTTGGGATCCTGTTTGCTCACTTCGGTAGACCTGCAAAGCCCCGAGGTGGGTCCTCGGGGTAGACACTCCGATGCCTAAGTCAGCAATAATTAGAATTACCAAATGTGAACCAAAGGTTAAGCTTGAGTTCGGTCTTTTAAAATTACCTTTAGGGAGGACCCTCAGGGGGTATTTATAGCCTTCAAAGAGGGCATCCACATGTTGTTCTTCACGAGAAATCAGGGCTATATGTGTCGATGATCCCATAAGGTTTTCTTACAGTATCCCTGCACGTATGGAGTTACTGTAGAGTAGGATCAAAGGAGATGAACTCGAGCTTGGACGAGCTTGTCGTTCCTCGTTGCCAAGGTGACCAGATTGGAAGTGGTCCGGGTGCCGAAGGTATTTGACCTCGAGCTATTGTGAGATCGGACTGTGACTTTGGATTACTACCATTGTGAGATCGGACTGTGACTTCGGATTACTACCACTACACTATTCCCCCCCCGAAGTCATTCACTTGTGAATGATTAAGAGGGTTGAGTTGGGCATGGTGCAGTGTGGTTGAGGTCGAGGTGAAGGTGTGACCAGTGGTCGTGTAGTGCGGCCGTGGCCGAAGTAAAGGTCGTGACAAATGGTCATGTAGTGCGGCCATGGCCGAAGTAAAGGTCATGACACGTGGTCATGTAGTGCGGCCGTGGCCGAAGTAAAAACTAGGAATGAGCGAGCTGATGGAAGAAGTAGAAAATATCGTTTGGTCGGATTTGGATCGGTCTTTGAAACGGAACCGGAAAGAGCATAGTGATTTATTAAAAAATTAGTTCAGGGGGGGACAGCTGTCTTTGAGTGACGCGCTGTAATAAATGGCACAGTCAAGAATAACTGCCGAATTTGAAAGGTTGCGTTTATTACCGTCGGATGTGGACGATCGTGACCGTTGATAGGCGAGGAAGCTTCAGTATAAATAGCCAGGGTTGAGCTATTCATAATTTACCTTGTTGATTTTATAGCAAAGCGCTGCCAAAGTGAAACGAGATCATCTCGCCGTTCGAGTTCGTGGTGTTTCAGAAAATTTCTTAAGTGTTTTACTTCGGTCGTTGCAAGATCAGGTAATTCTTGAAGCTCGACTTCTGATTTCAGAATTTAATATAACTGGTTTTAGATCCAAGTCCAGTAGAGAACGTTAGGGGTAGGTGTGAGATCAAAGTAGGAAGTTAACTGTTCTCATCCTACTTGTAGTGAGTCACGAAAGATGTCGTCCAAAGAGACACTAAGTGTTGGAGGTAGCGAGGGGGAGCAAGGGCTGAGCTTGACCAGCGGGAATGAAGTGGAGAGCTCAAGGAACGAGAGGAGTGGCGGGGTTAGAGGTGGGGTGGTAGAGGTGGGGATTCCTTCTAACATATTAGAGGTAGATCTAGATAGGGCAAAGTTCTATAATGAGGAGGAGGAAGTGGTGGAAGAGGTGGTGGGGTATGAGAGTATGTGGAGGAGGAGGAGTGACCTCACCCACCTAGTAGAACACTATGCCATTCCGGGGCACGTTCTACTTAGGCCGGCTGGGGAGAGGGAAAGGGCGTGCTCAGCTCCAAGGGATCATTGGATGCCGGTGTACGGGCACTATTTAACAGCCGGGCTTAGGTTTCTAGTGCCCGAGCTGCTAGTGGCGCTGCTGCTGGAGTACGGGCTGGGGTTGACGCAGCTCGTCCCCAACGCAGTTCGGCTTATCCTAGGGTTTTTAGTATATTGCCGAACTCGAGGTGTAATCCCCACGGTGAATATTTTTAAGTATTTTTTCTTGATAAAGAGGGGAAGTAAGAAGGAGCGGGGGTGGTTTTATTTCACACCCCGGGTGGCTGGAGGAGGAGGAAGGAACCTGTTCAGTGCAGGTCCTTCATCTATAAAGGGGTGGAAGGATAAGTTTTTCTTCATGGATGACACGAAGTGGGAAAAATCAGAGGTGGAGGTAACGGAGCTCAGCAGGTGGAAGAGGAAGAGGTCGAATCCGAATCAGTATTCGCTGAGCTTGGGAGAGCAAGAGGAGGTGGAGAGGTTGGAGAGGAGAGGTGGGGACGTAATGGACATCATGCATTTCTGCAGTCCAGCAATGTTAGAAGCGGCAGAAGTCTATGGGCCGAGCTCTATGACTGGAGGTCGGTTAGCTACTTTCAAGCGTGTTTAAGATAGATGGTTGACTGACCTCTGTTTTTTACTTTTGCAAAAAAGATGAACCGGCTGATGTCCAAGAGGAAAATGGTAGCACCGTCAGAGAAGAGGTCGAAGGCTCCGGCCGCACCTTTAGTGCGGGAACGGGTACCCACTTCGAGGTTTCGCCCGGACGGGAGTGCCCGAGATGAGGTGGGCCCTAGCTTGGATCTGGGGAAGAAGAGGGCTGAGGAAGCTACAGCCCAGAAGAGACGGAGGGTTGAGGAGGTGCCACAACCCCAAACCGACGCGCTGATCGAGTTCGTGCCTCGACCTTCGCCAGTGCAGATTGATCCATCTCTACGTGAAGTGGGGGTGGTGGGCATGGAAAGGGGAAGGAGTCCCCTATTCCTAGGTAGAAGTCAAGCTTTTACGAGAGTACAAGCAAGACAGCTGCCAAGCGCTTCATCAGGTCCACTTTTCCTGAGGTGGATCTCAACAGAGCTCGGCATGAGGTCGAGGAGCATGGGGGTTCAGGAGTGGTGCGCCATGCGCTCGAGGTGAGAACTTGAACTTTAGAATAATGTTACTTCTGCTGTATGCACTTATTTATTTTGAGGTTGGTTTCTTGTGCAGACGGTGAATCTCATCAATGCCTTGGCGGCTGAATACTACGACTGCCTCAAGGAGAGGAATAATCTGGTTGACAAGTATGATGAGCTCAACCTGCAGAAGCAGTCGGCTGAGCAGAACTTCCATGACCTAACTTCAGAGCTCGAGAAAGTTAGGGAGGAGTTGGCTTCTGCCAAGGCAGCTACTGATGTTGAGGTGGCGAAGAGGAGAAAAGCCGAGGAAGAGCTGGCTGAAGTGCGAGGGGAGTTGGCCGAGGTGCAGAAAAGAACCGAGCTGGAGGTGCATAACTCGGTTGAGAAGCACGTCTCTGACTTCGTCAATTCGGAGACGTTTTCAGAGATCGTGGACCTCTTCCGCATGCCTACACTGGTGATGGCATTCAACGACTGTCGGAAGAAGGTGAAGGCCCAGAACCCTGAGGTTGATGTGACGAAATCACTTTCGGACTTGAGGAGGCTGGAGTGGAAGAGGATGGGGAGAGCAGAACAGCTGAGTTTCGTCCGGACATAACTCTTAGCTGGGAACGAGACTAGGCTGGACGAACTGTGCTCCCCCCACGTCTCGAGTACGAGTTCGTCGCCGTGGACGAAGAGACCGAGGCTCCTATAACTGCCAAGGTCGGAGAGAATGCGGCTGAGCAAGAGGTGGATCAGCAGCATGTGGTGATCGACTGACGTCGACCCCTCCCCTTCATTCATTATCTTTTTAAACATGACAATGTACTGTTTAGTATAATTAATGAAAAGAGAATTTGTTGTATTTTAGTGTACTGTGTGAGTTCATATTTTTGGATAATAAACATGAAAACGGAAGACTGTGATCGTGACTGAAGTGAAGTTTGGACTTCGACTTCAAAATAAAGTGAATGTAATGAAATTCGACTTCGGATGTAAAATGAATATAACAAACTTCGACTTCGGATATAACATGAATATAACGAACTTCGACTTTGGATGAATATAACGAACTTCGACTTCGGGTATAAAATGAATATAACGAACTTCGACTTCAGATATAAAATGAATATAACGAACTTCGACTTCGGATATAAAATGAATGTAATTCATTCCAAGGTAAAAAGGAGTGCACCACTTGGACTTCGAAAAATGCAGCGCTTAAGCTGAACGAGAATGAGCTTTATTAAGAGTAGAATTTTTTTAAATTGTTTACATTCCATACTCTAGGGATCCTTTTACCCTCGACGTCTTGAAGTACGTAAGCGCCGGAATGGGGTACTTCGGCCACTACATATGAGCCTTCCTAGTTTGGTGCTAGCTTGCCGAAGCGGGTTTTGAAGCCGGTGAGTCCTGCCTTTCTGAGGACGAGGTCACCAATCTTGAAGCTTCAAGGTCAAACTCGTTTGTTATAAAAGTTGGCGATCTTCTGCTTATATGCTATTGTCCGAAGTCGAGCCTGCTCGCGGACTTCGTCCAAGAGGTCAAGGTCTTCCCGGAGTGGCAGGTCATTTCGGGTTGAGTCGAAATAGCTAACTCTTAAGCTCGGGACGCCGAGTTCAATGGGAATGACTGCCTTAGTCCCGAAAGCCAGATGATAGGGCGTTTCGCCTAGTCCATTAAAAAGAGTTGTGGTTTACGAGGTTGCTAAAAAAGTAAGTTTTGCGACTTCGGGTGAGTGACTAGAGGTTATTAGCATACCTGTAGCCGTCCTGGTGGTAGTTCGGTAGGCCCACAATACGTTGTTGAGCTCGTCTGCCCATTTGGCTTTGAGTTGGTCCAACCTCGGCTTAATTCCTTCTAGAATAGCTTTGTTCACCGATTCGACCATTCCATTAGTCTCAGGGTGATAAACCGAAGTGAATAGTAATTTAATTCCGTAGCTGGAGCAGAAATCCCTGAAAGAGGTGCAATTGAACTGAGGCCCATTGTCGGTGACAATTCGATTCGTTATGCCGTATCGACAGATGATTGCACTGAAGACAAAATCTTCAATCCTTCTCGAGGTCAGACTGGACAGGGGTCGTGCTTTGACCCATTTTGTGAAGTAGTCGACCGCCACAACCAGATGTGTTACTCCCCCTACACCTTTGACAAAAGGACCCAGCAGATCCAGCCCCCATTGGGCAAAAGGCCATGGTGCCACTAAGTTTGTGAGTTCTTCTGCTGGCTGGTGGGTTAGGTGTGCAAAGAATTGACACTTTTGGCACTTCTGTACAAACTGTGTGGCATCCTCCTGCATGTTGGGCCAGTAGTACCCTTGACGAAGCACCTTATGAGCCAAAGTCCGAGCTCTGACATGGCTTCCACATACACCCTCGTGTACTTCGCGGAGAGCATACTCGGCCTCATAGGGGGTTAAACAGCGGAGAAGGGGAAGTGAGTAGGACGTTTTATACAGGATGCCATCAAGCAAGGCGTATCTTGACGCTTTTCTCCGTAGCTTCAGCTCCTCTTGCTTATCGATTGGGACAGTTCCATCCTGTAGCTAGGCTTTGATGGGGTCTGTCCAACTCGGAGTTTCGGGGTCAGTACTGACCTCTAGTACTTCTGTCTTCTGGAAGCTTGGTGCGTTTAGGACCTCGACGTAAACAGATCTCCCCCCCTAGGAAGTGTCGGAGGCCAGTCGTGATAGAGGATCTGCATGTTCATTTTCTGACCTCGGAACTTTTGTGAGCTTGAATTGCTCAAATTGGCATTTCAGCTTAGAGACAAGTGCTAGGTATTTGGCTAAAACTAGGTCCGCTACCTCGCAAAAGGAATTTACTTGATTGACCACTAGCTGAGAGTCGTTATAGACCTGGAGAGATGTGACTTTCAGTTTGGCCGCAAGACGAATTCCGAGCAGAAGGGCCTCATATTCGGCCATGTTGTTGGTTGCTTCGAAGTTGAACTTCAGAGCATGCTTACTTCGGAAGTGCTCAGGTCCAATTAGTACCGCGCCAGCTCCTGCCCCTTTGCTGTTAGACGCACCATCCACATAAAGAGTCCACTGTTCGACTTCGGTATCAGCGTTTTTCTGGTCGGAGGTACACTCAACTAAAAAATTTGCTAGAGCCTGACCTCAGACTGATGACCTCTGCTGAAAGGTGATCTGGAACTCTCCCAACTCTACTGCCCACTTGATGAGCCTGCCTGAACATTCTGGTTTCTGCAAAATCTGTCTTAGGGGTAGGTCAGTTAGAACAACAATGGGATGGGCTTGGAAATATGGCCTTAGCTTTCTGGCCGTAGTGACGACCGCAAGAGCTGCTTTTTCTGCCGTGGAGTACCTCAATTCGGCCCCCTACAGCACTTTGCTTGCATAATAGACTGGCCTCTGTAACCGTGCTGTTTCCCTTATCAAAACCGAGCTGACTGCTGTATCTGAGATTTCGAGGTAGAGGCAAAGTGTCTCCCCCTCTTCGGCTTTGGTTAATAGGGGGGTGAGCTGAGGTATGCCTTGAGCTCTTCGAAAGAGGTTTGGCACTCCGGAGTCCACTCAAACTTTCTGGGTTTCCCGGTTTCGCCTTTCTGAGTTATAGATCTGAGGATTTTGAAGAAAGGCAGACATCTGTCAACCGATTTGGAAATGAACCTGTGCAGGGCTGCCACCTGCCCAGTTAGGCGTTGTACATCTTTGATTGACTTCGGCGGTTTCATTTCTTCTATCGCCTTTATTTTTTCAGGATTGACCTCTATTCCCCTCCTAGAGACCAGAAATCCCAAGAATTTTCCAGATTCAACTCCAAAGACGCACTTGGCCAGATTCAGTTTCATGATGTGCCTTCTCAAGTTATCAAATGTCTCCCCCAGGTCGGTCAGGTGATCTTCTGCTCTGAGGCTCTTGACCACTATGTCATCAACATAAACTTCCAAATTCCTGCCAATTTGAGCTCGGAACACAATGGTCACCATTTTTTGGTATGTGGCTCCTGCATTTTTGAGTCCGAACGGCATCATGACATAATAATAAATCTCATCTCCAGCATAGAAAGAGGTTTTTACTTCGTCCTCGGGTGCCATGTGGACCTGGTGATATCCCGAGTAAGCATTCAAAAGGCTGAGCCTTTCATTCCCAGATGCGGCCTCTACTAGCTTGTCTATGTTCGGCAAGGGGTGGTAGTCTTTTGGGCAAGCTTCATTGAGGTTGGTGTAATCAATGCACAGCCGCCATTTTCCGTTTAACTTCTTGACAAGGACGGGGTTGGTGACCCATTCACAATAGTCTACCCTCCTAATAAAGCCTGCTTGCAAGAGCTTCTGCACTTCTTCTTTGATTGCTTGTAGCCTCTCTCCCCTGAACAGACGCCTTTTCTGTGTTACAGGTTTTTTCAAAGGGTTGGTGCCGAGCTTGTGAACTGCAACCGAGGCTGGTATCCAAGGCATGTCTGCCGAGGTCCAGGCGAAGACATCCCTGTTCGACTTCAGGAAGTCAATGAGTTCTTCCCTCTCTTCTGGGTTGAGTTTAGTGCCAATCTGTGTTTTTCTGGTGGGGTCATTGGGGTCAAGCTGTATTTCTTCCACCTCTTCTGTTGGGGTTGCTCTGGCGTCGCCCTCACGTTTATTGTCTGGCAGCTCTATACCCATCACCTGCTGCGCGGGTGGCATCTCTGACTGAATTGGAGCTGGAGTTACTAGCTTATCTCTCCAAGGTAAAGTGACCGAGGTCATATAGCTGTGCCGAGCTACTTCTTGATTACCTCTCAGAGTTGCTACTCCCATAGGGGTGGGGAATTTCATGCATATGTGGGACTGCGAAACAACAGCTCGGATTTCTGTCAAGGTTGGCCTTCCGATGACAATGTTGAAAGAGGATGCCATCTTTACGACCAAAAACCGAACTGACGGAGTAACATATGTTCGACCTGAACCGAAGGCTACCTTGAGCGTGAGTATTCCTTCCACAGGGACTGGTTGATTGTTGAAGCCGTAGATAGGGCCGTCATATTTCTGTAGGAGAGCTGAGTCAAGACTTAGGCTCTCCAAAGAATGATAATACATTATGTCCGGAGCGCTTCCTGTGTCAACAAGGATGCGGTGGACTTCACAGTTGTTAACAATGACCGAGGTGACAAGCGGATCATTGTGTGGGGTGATAACACCATCAAAATCAACTGCGCTGAAAGTTATGGGTTGGTTCTTCCAATCTGTCTCATCAAATTTCCTCTTTTGAACCCGGTTCTGATGTTTGACTTCCCGAACATACAACTTCTGCTGTTTTGAGCTTATTCCGCCAGCTTCTAACCCCCCTGTGATCATATGAATGATACGTGAGGGTGGGGGTAGTGGAGGTGGTGCTTGTTGGTAGCCAACACCGACCCTGTTGCTTGCCTCTCGAGGTGCCTGAGGCCGTCCTTGTTCCCGGACGAATTTAGGCTGATCCCCTTTAGAGACGTACTCATTGAGCATGCCTTTCCGAGCTAAGCCCTCCAGTTCTGACTTCAGGCTTTGGCATTCCTCCGTGGTATGGTAGTGGTCCTGGTGGAAGTCACAGTACTTGCTATGATCTCGGGTGGTAGGGGGACTCCGCATGGGTAGGGGCCTTCTAAGCTCCATTTTGTTTTTGATTTGCATTAAAATCTGTGACCTCGGCAATATAAATGGAGTCCAGGTGATTTGCTTAGACATAGGTTCTGTCTACCCTAGACGGGAATGGGCCTCGATTCTGTGCAGGCTTAAATCTTTTCCTGTTCTGCCCTTCATCTCTCCAGGCCGGAGGTCTGACCTCTTTACTCGGAGTTGCTTTGCCGGACAAAGCATATTCCTCCGCTTGAATGAATTTCCACGATCTTTCATTGGCCTCATCAAAGGCGGCAGGTGCGTGTTTGATCAGGCTATCGCGAAATCTGTCATGCTTGAGGCCCGCGATCAATGCAGCCAACCCCACACCATGATTGAAGGAGCTGATCTCGAGCACTGCGTCGTTGAACCTATTCATATAATTTTTAAGGGATTCGCCTTCCCTTTGGGTCACTCGCATGAGCTCGGAGGTCGTCTTCTTAATTAACCGACGGCTGGAGAACTTGGTTGCGAAGAACGCTGTAAGCTCGGCATAGGAACTGATCGAGTCCGGCTGCAAGCTATAATACCAGGTTCGAGCGTTTCCTCGCAATGTAGAAGGAAATATCTTGCATATCAAGGCATCTGAGGCATTCTGAGCCTGCATAACGGAGCAGAAGGCATGCAAGTGGTCATCGGGGTCTTTAGTGCCGTCGTATGTTTCGAGCTGTGGCATTCGGAACCCTGATGGGTATGGCTCTTGGAGAATGTTGGAATTGAGGGGGGTGGGGATTGGGGTGGAACTCGGGAGTGCCGGAGTTTGTGGAGTTCGATTCTCGGGTAGTATTTTTTCGGAGTTCCCCTTGGGAAGATCTGAGATGGCCGGCTGAGGTGGGGGTTGAGGAAGAGGTGCCATGTGTGAGTGGGCTGGAGAGTTGTTGCGAGGTAAAGTCGCAGTTCGAGCTGGTGAGGTCATATTGTGTTGAGGCTGTTGGGTAGGTATTTGGTTAGTGGGATTGAGTAGGGCAATGAGAGGGTCGCCTGGGTTATCCCTGGCTAGCAGTTGCGCGAGCACAAGTTGAAACACGTCGAGCTGCTGCTGCATGATATTGAGTTGGGAGGCTATGGGGTTCAGGTTTTCTGCTAAATTTGGATTGTTTTCCCCGGTTCCCTCTATATGCTGAGGTTGGGTTGTAGGGGGTGGGGTGGTGTGAGATGGGGGGTTCCCACTGGGAAGCTGACCTCTGCCACGCCCTTGTTGAGGGCTTCCGTGTTGTGCTGAGCGTGTGTTCACCATTGCGATAGCCGCTAATTAAGGCTTTTAGCTCGGATTCCCACAGATGGCGCCAATGTAGTTGCAAGAGAACTGGGGTATTTCGGGATCCTGTTTGCTCACTTTGGTAGACCTGCAAAGCCCCGAGGTGGGTCCTCGGGGTAGACACTCTGATGCCTAAGTCAACAATAATCAGAATTACCAAATGTGAACCAAAGGTTAAGCTTGAGTTCGGTCTTTTAAAATTACCTTTAGGGAGGACCCTCGGGGGGTATTTATAGCCTTCAAAGGGGGCATCCACATGTTGTTCTTCACGAGAAATCAGGGCTATATGTGTCGATGATCCCATAAGGTTTCCTTACAGTATCCCTGCACGTACGGAGTTACTGTAGAGTAGGATCAAAGGGGATGAACTCGAGCTTGGACGAGCTCGTCGTTCCTCGTTGCCAAGGTGACCAGATTGGAAGTGGTCCAGGTGCTGAAGGTATTTGACCTCGGGCTATTGTGAGATCGGACTGTGACTTTGGATTACTACCATTGTGAGATTGGACTGTGACTTCGGATTACTACCACTACAAGAATTTGGCTATAAAAGGGGGTGGGAAGCTCCAAAGGCACATAAGTAAGTTGTGAGTTGAAGCGTAGAAGACAAAAGCATAAGCTTATATCTTC